TCTCTTTAAATGAGGCCAACAACAATTTGCTCTCGAAGTTTACAAGTGACTTATAACTTGTAATTTGCTCTTGTATTTTACAAGTGGACCACAGGCCAAAAACAAGTTGGACTCCTGTAAAACGTTTTATTGAACTGACCTAATTTCACATTCTACACGTGTAGCTCTACACCTGTAACTACAAGTCGGACACTTGTAACTTTGGCTTGTAAAGACAGTTATTGAATTGGATTTTTTGCGCGCTTGTAAAAGCAACGGTCCAACATGTAAAATACAAGTGTAAAAGTTTTATTGAATTGACCCCTGGTGTGCAACTTAGAAAGACATGTACAGAGCAAAAATATCAACAAGTCGCTTAACTTATTTTTACTGATAAACTTGATAAGTATATAGGACCTCAATAGTGTGGACTTTAAATAGTGCTATGTACCAAGCAAAGATAATCTGTTTGTTGTATCTTACTTTAGATAATCAGAGCCCAGGTTCCTTTAATTCGCTGATGTTTTTAGGACGAGATTTCATGACCTTCACATAATCGGAACAAACAAATAAATATGAGAACAACTACAACAACAAAACACAATCTTCGGTGTCAAACGGTTTGTGTGCTGTTTATTGTGAAGAGAGCATCCAAATTTCAATATAGGAAGACAGCATGAAGCTTAACAGTACATAAATGAAAAAAAGAGACATAATTCTTTTTTGTCTTTTTATGCTATAAAAAAGCATAAGCATTGTGTGTTATATGCCTTTTAGCACCCCAGACATCTAGTAAAGTTGCAGAATTTCTTATAGGTACAGGATTTTTCACTATTAATCATGCTTGAATCCATTGTTATCGTTAGGTCAACAGCCTTAGCCAACCATTACTGCAGTCCATTGGCAGTCTAACGAAACAAAGGAAAGCTTTAAAGATTTCAAGATGAACACTGAAAATTCTCTTATACTGGTAAGCTTGCAGATGAGCCTTTTTTGTAATGTGTGAACGCATTAGGTTCAAGTTTGAGATGATGGCGGATAGTGATTTTGAAAATTTTATTATGAAAATGACAATAAGAATTATGACAAGGAAAACATAGAGGGGATCAGGAAAAGCACTTGTTATAGAAATGGTGACAGCTGCTAATATGGTGGCAAAGATATCGATTTTCAGTTATCAATGAAGACAAGACAGCGAAGATTACATGAGCTGACTAACGAAAAAAAAAAGGGTTCTTAAGTTTTCACGGGTTTCTCATACTTCCTTGTTAACTTCATTTCAAGCAAACGAAAGAAAAGCTGTGATAAAGGATTCAACAACACATTTTATGATTTGAACAACTCCTCTTTTCATTATGTGATATTTTTATAAAGAACCAATTTTTACTTTTAGAATGCCAAGGCCATTCCTAAAGTTGATCCTATGTAAAAAAAAAAAGCATCCAGAGGCTTCAGATGATAGCAAAGCTTCGCTTAGAAACCTATAGCGCGGCTGTATGAGCATTGAAAACTAAATAATTTAAATAATGAATCATATTAAACTGTTCACCTGAACAAACAGACGTCAACAATCCTAGCTTTAAAATATTCCACAACAGAATGGTGGCAAAAAAAAACTTGAATTGGTGTAAAAATGTAAATCACACTTTAGCTCTGATCATGCTCAATTGTGTTTTTACCGCAGGTGAATAACGGGCTCAATAACTTGGAGAAAACGGTGAACTCAACGAAGGACGAATTAGCTTCAAGGATTGCAAGGGCAGACCTTTGGGTGAGAGGAAGCGTTATCCTTTGCAATTTTTAAATATAAAGAAATCACGATTTTTCATGAGCCGACCTTTAGTCATTTACCTACCCATGGTGAAAATGATTAATTCTTGTGAAAGCACTTTTTGAGTGGGTGTCGAAAGAAATCCAACATTCCTTGAGTTTGATGTAACCTTTAGCTTGCGTCGGGTACTTGAACGTACAATAATGAGACAACTAAAACGAAGCACGACTTGGTCAGTTCTTCATGCTAGAGACTAACCCTAAGGAGAGGGTAAATATCGTTAAGATTTTAGTCCTAGTTCATGAATCGTACATACAGCAATCAACCACCGTAGGCTATATTTGTTGATTCGGAACATATACGACAACTGAATCAAAGTCCAGTCGACCAAACTCGTATGATACTGTGCAGTACTTAAAACGCCTCAAAATCCCACACCGTAGCATTGCAATTCGGAAGGTTGCATACTTATTGCACTTGTAATCTGAATCGTTATGTTAAACAGCTCAACAGCACCACCGAAAGACTTGATCAAGAAGACGTCAGCATAAAATCACTTATTAACGACATCAACGCAACTTTGTCTTTGAAGGTATTAGAAGTTACCGAAATAATTTTTTTTTTATATCAGAGTCTTTTTCTCTCTCTCTCTTTTTTTTAAAATTATTTTTTTATTTTTTTATTTCCCTATTTATTTTTTTTTTTTTTTGGCGTTTTTCCTTTTTGTTTTTTTTTTTTCTTTTCTGGCTTGTGTGTTTGTTTTAGCTTGTTTGTTAAATTATGGAATTAAATTCTTATGTTTCTCTTCCAGGTAGAGAATGTGAGTAAGCTACAGGGCCCCGTTGGACCAGCCGGACCTCAGGGATTCAATGGAACACAGGGTCCTCAGGGGGTGATAGGTCCACAGGGTTCTAACGAATCACAAGGGTCACCGGGATCAGATGGACTCCAAGGAGCCGCAGGACCCTCAGGACCCCCTGGAGCAGGAGACTTTTCACAATGTGAGTTCATGACTAGCACGGACACAGGATCCCAGACTGCTTTCCAAGGCAACACTCTTCCAGCTGCAACTAAAGTCATCCTAACTGAACCAACTGTAAGTAAAATGAAATACGAGACCTTATAAACTCGACAATGTGAAAAAAAATAGATAAAAAATCTCATCACGCATATCTCAAAAGCGTGATGATGAATTTAATTCGATGATAAAATCCAATATTACTGTAAAAAGAAATACAAAACAAAAGATAGATGCAAAATTTCAATTGTGTTGTTAGCAAAAGCTGAATTATATCAAACAATAATGCTTTTTGAACAAGAAAACGTCACATTCATAGATGAAGGCTCGCCTATCCGAGCAGTTCTGTTCCACGCAGCCATTCCTCAAATGAAAATGAAGAGAAAAGTGCTTTACGAAGTACGCTCAACAGCATACCAGCATGACATCATTTAGATATGATTTTGTTTTATCTCCCTTTTTCAACCATTATACAGGATAAAAGAATAGTTGTTGTCACATGCTGAACAGACCTCGCCCAACTGTATATCTTGGAAGCTGAGATTGTTCCATCTACAAACAACCAAGTGTACCACTGTGAGTGCTATGGAAATCAAGGAAGTGTTGGGACAATCAAAAGTATTCAATGCTTCATGCATTATTGGTTATGTCCCTTAACAACATAAAAGTGACACGCCATCTATTACCTTATGTGAAGAAGACAATGCATTGTACTTCAGGATGGGGTCGGGCGATACTTGCTAAATAAGCGAAAAAAATGCAAAATGTCAGTAGTTAATGAAACTGATGATCTTATTCATTTATTGAAATTAAAGATGCAATTGCGTTTTCACCTGGTGTTCTTCTCTCTTAGAAAGAGAAATGTTTTGTAAATATCATATAGTGAGAGCATTCAAACGGATTTACTTTCCCAGACTTGATTGTAGCTGTGAATTTTTTTTAAATCACTCTTGTTACGACATACCCAATTAGTCTCGCCGCTCAGTCCGACAACCATCATAAATTGTGCTCTATATTTCTGTTGTTTAAAAACTTACGAAAACGTTGAGTACAAAATGATCTGTCGTATAGCTCAAGACTTGATTTGCAGTCATGAATAAACGCCTGTAAATGGTGATCCGGTCTCCATAATGATAAATTAAAAAGT